ACTCCTGATCTCCTAAATCTGTCACAATTTCTTGAATGAAGTGTGGTGCCAAAACATTTTTAATAATATTCGTGCATTTGGTTCGATGTAACTTGATGTCGCTGTATTTGCTGTCGACAAATCGGTATTTGCATAGTTCCGATAAATGATCTACAGCCATAATTGCACAGTGCTCGCAAACAAACAAAGCCAGCGAAGATTCTGCTTTCTGGGTATTCAGATCTTTTTTTACTTTAGGGAAGTTAATTTTTTTTTGACTCTTCATTGGCTCTATTGCTTTTCTGTGCTTTGCTGATGAAATATGTAGCCTCAAAACAGACAATTTTGCAATCATTTCGCATTTACAATACTTACAGTACGCTTTCGAAGTATCGTTTTCAACGGGCTGCAACCACTCTTTAAAGTCTGCCATTTTCTCCCAGTCTGCCCGGTAATGTTGACTATACTTAGGCACCATAATAAAAATATCAAATTATAAAAAAGGAACACGAAAACACGGATAAGACGAGACGACGATATGAGTGAGTCCACATCCACAACAATAAACAATGTTTTTGACAGAAAGCGACGTAGGCGCTGGGGAATGGATAGTAAGGGAATTCTATCCCATAGACATCACCCTCACAAAACTGACCACTCTCTAGAAAGAGACAAAGTGAATACGCGGCCAATACATGTGTATTTTCTGAAAAGCGCAGGTAAGGCGTAGAAAGAGACAATAACTGGCGGCACATTCGCTTTGTCTCTCTTGTACTTCGTCCATATTTACTTTATACCTGAATAAGGGCTCAGTCCATTCTCTATGTCTAAGGGGAATCCCGTAGCACAGAGAATTATTATATTCGCTTCAAAAAAGGGTTGCCATGCTAGTGAATCACTAGTAGTGAAGTGGGAAATTGATTGAGGTAGGTATCGATATCAAATTTTATTTCAAGAAAGATTGTAATTTACATTCTTTTCATGTTTTATAAGAATATGCTGAAATAATATGCTATATGCTAAAAGCAAAAAAAATATGCTAAACAAGAAGAAAATATGTCAAATTTAGCATATAATATGCTAAATTGGCAACACTATTGAACAGTTTCTTCTTGTTTAACTTGTTTCTAATTTCACACTAAATGTAAACAATAGCGTACGTTCAAACGCACAATCTTTTACGAGCATTCCCACAGCTGTTGATAAGGTTCCGAGAAGCGATTGTTTGGGATTACCCAAAACATTGCTCGGAACTTGTCTACCTGACCCCTTTTTTTCAAGTTTTTTCTGTACTATTTAAGTTATAAGCTAAATTGATACTTCGTTGGGTAGCTAGATAAGTAGGGATGTTTTTAACATGATTTGCACAATTGGTCACATACAATTATTGACACCAGACTTTTGGGATTTTTGAAAAAAATAATTAAACCTAAATATCTCGAAATTGGTCCACATTTGCATAATGCATTTTATGGTTCATTTGATAGGTTATGACCCCAACTATCACGCCTTGGCGGGAATACGTCGAATTACCAGTAACCCTGTATATACGCTTTAAAATGGTCCTACTTTCATGTTGTTAACACTTGGGCCCAAAAATTATGGAGATGTCTCCTTCTCCTTTGTTGTGATTTTTTTGTAAGAATAACATAGAAATTTACTTCAGGCAGAGCCCGTAAGTGTTATTAAAAATTAAATTATAGCTAAGATTAGTAAAAATACATTAAAGCACTACAAAAACAAGATAAATTTAAAAAAAAATGTGGTATAAAGCCACACAGTAACATATACTTAAACAGTTATGCTGCTGTGTTTTTCAAAATCTACTAATTATAATTTTTTATCGACCGTCGATAAATAACGCCTATTTTATTTCTATTCCTGACTACTGAATTGTGACCAAATTATATGTATATAAAACTTTTCATATTATAAATATTACTACTAAATATGAGCACAAAATAAATGATAGATGTTAGGTAGCAGAAAAAATAAAAGATGAGAATAAGTCAGTCAAATTAAATAAGACGCTACCTTTGATCACTCGATGAGTGGAGTTTTTTGGGTTTTTCCTATACCTTAGCCCTTCGTCGGCTAACGGTTATGAGTTTGAGGAGCGCGCGAAACGTCGTGTATTTTATAGTATTATTGTTTTGTTTATCACATTCTTGTAATGTGAATTTATTGAAACAATAATTTCTGTTACATATTCTTTATCGAATAAAATTTTATATGAAAAATACATACTAAAGGGGAATGCCCACCGTTCATAGACACTTCGGCCATGGGTGCCCACATATAAAATCATATGGAAATAATAATATGCAATTAAAAGAATGGTTTAGGAATTGGTTTTAAAAAAGTCCGGATTTTTAAGATATAAAGGTTTTTTATTTTCACAAGAACAGTTTTTTAACAACAAATGACTTCGTATTTTCGTGACATTTAAACCATAATTGACACAGCATAAATTTCTCTTGAATGAGTTACTGAGAGCTGGGAAGAATTCTGGCTGGTGTGAAAGCTGGGGTCATCGTTAACAGTGGATATAGAGTCCAAGTTCATGCAGAGGTTATCGTAAGAGAGACCGCAGATTTACAGTTAGCCGACTAAATCGCAGAATATACCAAAAGGTACTAAACTAAATCGTCCAACTAATTAATTGGAGACCGATCGTATCAGAATCAAGATTCCCTTCCGATTACGCAGAATTAAAAAGTTGTCTAACTATCGGCCAACTTCTCGTTAGCACGGTTACCCTGTGCAAGCTCGCTCGCAAGGACAAGGTTGGTCTAAGTTATTTATTGTGATTCTAATGTTTGTGTATAAGTCTATACTTAATCATATTGAAACGGAACAGATCCATGAGATTGAAGAAAATAAGATGTCAGATACTGTCGAACATTTACACCATTTGAGATATTGCTTCCCCTGTTGTTTTTCGTGTAACGATATTTATCTAAAGGACATTTCTACAATGTATCCTTAAAAGTTATTCCATCTTTTGAGCGAACGTTGTTGTGTAGAATACATACTGACTTTATAATCTTTATAGCAAAATTTATGTGGACATTTATGGGGGTCATTGTAGAAGCGTGCTCGTCGCGACCACTGCCAGCCCTTTTCAGGGCTGCAATTCTACTAGCTGCGCACCCATGCCAACGAGGGTTAGGGCGTCCCCCCAAGGCGACGCACACCAGCTCGTCCCCGTTGGTGTGAAATGCAGCGCGCAAAGCGGCGATGGGGACCGCCACCCGTCACGCACAGCCCGACACGGCGGAAGGTGGAGGACAGAGTGCAGAGTTGGCACGTGGAATGTTAGAGGAGGCATGAGAGATAAGACGAATGAGTTGATCGAAATAATGAAAGAAAGAGAATTAGATGTCGTGTGTATGTCGGAGACCAAGCGGAAGGGCAGTGGTACTGAAGAGCTCCCTGGCGGGGCGTTAGCTCTATGGTCCGGAGTCCCGGAGAGCGAGAACGCCTGCCAGGGAGTGGGGGTGCTGCTGTCTTCTCGGTTGGTCGATGTTATGACTGAATATAAGGTTGTGAACTCAAGACTTCTCTGGGTTCGCTTTAAATTGGGACTGACGAAGTTATTCCTTTTGGCTGTTTATGCGCCGGTAGCTTCGTCGTCCAGGGCTGAGCTGGAGGAGTTTTGGGAGAATGTAAGAGAAGTTCTAGATTTGGCTAGGGGAAACGAAAGAATTGTTGTATGTGGTGATTTGAATGGATGGGTTGGTACCGCTCGACCAGGGTACGAGTCGGTACTTGGAAAGTTTGGCGATAAAAGGGTTAATGATGCTGGCAAGCTTATACTGGCGGTGTGCAAGGAAAAGGGTCTTCTTGTGACAAACACTATGTTTAATCACAAGAAAATCCATATGTATACTAGAGAACGAAAGAATGAGAGAAGTATGATCGATTTGTTCCTGGTGGATGACCGACTGCGAAAACAGGTGATGGATACGCGAGTGTTCAGGGGTGCTGACCTGGGAACGGATCACTATCTAGTGATTACTAGATTTAGGGGTCTGTTCGCGGGTTGGCGCTACCGGACGGCAGTAACAGAACCACAGTCGGTCTGTCGCATCCGAAGCTGGAAGCTTCAGGAAGCGGATACTAGGGACAAATATCATGCGAGGGTAGCCGAAAAGCTTGACACCATCGATGGCAGAAAAGAATGTGTAGAAAGAACATGGCAGAACCTTAGGGATGGAATGGTAAGTGCAGCGGAAGAAGTGTGTGGAACAATAAAAAGAGGCAGTAGTAAAAGAAGAGATGCATGGTGGAATGATGAAGTGAAAGAAGCTGTAAAGAAGAAGAAGAAAGCATGGTTAGACTACTTAGCCTCTAGTAATGATAAGGATATGAGAGAGAAGATGAAAGAAAGATATAGGCTGCAGAAAGTTCACACGAAAGCACTGATTGAGGAAGTGCGTGAAAGGTGTAGAATGGAAGCGGACGAAAGGTTGTCGCACAACTTTAAGGAGAACTCCAAACTCTTCTGGAAAGAGGTTGGAAGGGCCCGAAGTGGTGCGACGGCCTTAAGAATGAACAAAGTGCTTTCGAGAACTAATGACGTCCTATCAGAAAAATCGGACGTCATGCAGCGATGGAGCGAATTTTATAGCCTGGTTTTATAGTTATGCGTTTCGGCTGCGCTGTTGGTGCGCGCGCGTTCGGATATGTATTGGGGTAGTAGTTGCATTTTAAAGTCGCGCGCTTGAGCAGCGCCGTTCGGTAAACGCGCGTTGTTCGCCGGCGCTGCCGAAGCGCGCGCCGCTCGGGCGCTTCAGCATTCAGTATGCGTTTTAGTGTGACACCGTTAAGACGCGCCGTTAGGTATTGTTGTGTACAAAATGAATTACATCGACACGGGGCGAGTAATTGAGGAAGTGCGATTTAGAAGATGTTTATGGGACCCGGCCGAAGATTCATACAAGAATAAGGATGCGAAAAATAAAGCATGGGAAGAAATTGGAAAGGAATTGTGTGGTGAAAATTTCAATACAGCCTTAGGTAAGAAAATTTTTTTAATAAAATAATTTTTGTTACATGTATTGTCTGGTACTAATGAAAAATATTAATTAGGTAGATAGGTAGGTAAATCAATTTAAGCACGACAATATTACTGCATTTCGTTCCATTTATTGAATTTCGTGGTAAGTAGGTATCAACTAAAAAATCATAACACAGATCTATCTTGCCATGACACGCTACCAGTGGGTGATACGAAGTAATCAGCGAATATATCGCGTAATGTGTTTCCTGATCTATGATCTGGTTGGTCAACTAAATCAGTCATTCCCGTTATAGTTAATGTGTCATTAACGTTGTAGCCATCCCGTATTCTAATAAAATTATGCAATATGCAACAGGCTTGAACTACCTTTTTAGCGACAGGAAAACTGACACTCATTGGAGTATGGAACATTCTGAATTTGTTGGACATTATTCCAAACGTCGACTCTATGTACCGTCTAGCACGACTTAAGCGATAATTAAATACCTTATTTTTATGAGTCATGTTGGATCGCACATAAGGTCTCATCACATGGTTGGATATACCAAATGCACCATCACCAACTATAATGTGTGGTAGTGTTATATTAGTGCCCAGCAGATGTTTTACACCAGGTAACCTCAATGTATTGTTCTGTAACTTTCGAAAAAGTGAACTCTCTTGAAATATTGTAGAGTCTGAGTTTTTTCCGCAAGACCCAATGTTAATATAGGTAAAACAATAGTTCGCATCGCACATTGCCAAAAGGACGATAGAATAGAAATGTTTATAATTATAAAACATAGAGCCTCCACCTGCCGGATTTATTACACGTATATGTTTACCATCTATCGCCCCACAACAATTTGGAAAATTTGCATATAATTCAAATTCTTCAGTAATACGCTGCCACATTTCTGTAGTTGGTTCAGGTATACATTCATGACGAAGATTTTGCCATACAGCCGAACAAACTTCATTTACTATATTAGCTACAGTAGTAATTCCCATTCTGTATGCGATGGATAAATCGGAGAAAGTACAGCCCGTTGCCAAAAACCTGAAACAAAAAAGTATTTTCATTAAATTTCATTACGTGCATAAAAATATGTTTTTATTGCAGATAAACAAATACGCCAGCGATGGAAATCAGCGAGAGATAATTATTTCAGAACAAAAGGGAATATGCGAAATACGCCATCGGGAAGCGCTGCAAAACACAAGAAGTATCTGTTTTTCGAGCAAATGACATTCCTTGATCGTTCTTCAGAAAATGAAGTCACAGATTCATTAAGCGATAATCAGTCTAGCGTATCTGAAGATTTGACTACTAGAGACACATATGAAGCAGTTACATCTGCGAGTAACTTGAGTACTCCATCCCAGTTCCAAAGACAACAAGAAAACACAGAAAATAGTAATGATACTCCCAGATGGAATCAAAAGAGGAGAAATAAACGGAAATCCGATCAATCAAATTTTGAAAACGAATTATTAACGTTGTTGAACCAAAATACTTCCACTTCCAACCTAAGTCCTGATGATTTGTCATTTTTTGAGTCTCTTGCTCCGATTCTAAATAATTTAAGTGCTTATCAAAAGCTGCAGTTTCGCTCAAAGGTTCTAGGATTAGTCATTGAGATTTCACCTCCAACAACTTCGACACCTAGCTTTTTATCACCGCCAGAAAATAATGTTAATTCTAGTCTGAACGCAAATTCTACATACAATTGCACAACGCGATCATCGCCATATCCTAATTATAACTATTCTACCACTTCTACACCTGAACAGCTCTATGAATCTGCAGTACCTTTTTCAAATGTCATATCGCCAACTGAGGATAATAACTCAAATTCTGCTCACTCATCTGCTGCGTACAGCTCGATAGTTGAATCAATGAATGTTATGAATGAGACTCATAATGAAGATCAGTAAGGATTTTAGTTGATTTTAGCAGATTTATAGAGTTAAGAAATCCATGACATACAGGTAAGTCGGACATACATTATTTTGACAACCTTAGCCAAAACTAAGAAAATCCTAGGTCAGTAAAGTTTGTATGAAAATACGAGTACATTACACCGTGTTAGGATGACTTTTAAATTTCTGATAAATCTCATTAATGCCATACGCCATAGGGCCAGTCGTGGGCCAGTCAGTGAACTTCGCTTGTAATTAGGTCATTTTCAATTCAATTTTCAAAATCATAGAACAAAAAAATTTATGATTTCTTAGCTCTATAAATCTGTATCTGTATTGAGTTGATTTGTCGGCCTAGTATTGATCCTCATTAAAGACGTTGGTGATTAAGTATTAGCTACAAAAACTAGAAATTATACAACATACACCACCATGTTTCTGCAAAATAAATATTATCATTTATAGTTATATATATGATAATATTTATTCATATACACTTTTAATTCACTTACCTTAGAGTGATCGCCAATTTTTCCACAGGAGTTATGGGTATGCAACGTAAGCTGGATCGTCGTAAAGAAAACTCTAACTTGCAGAGTAATTCGTCGAAACTGCTTGTAGATAAGCGAAAATATTTATAAAATTTATAATTATTTTCTCGTAAATCGGAGAAAGATGTTACGTGTTCGCCTCTCAGTAACCTTGTAGCGTTATAAGGATCAACTATTCTCCTATTAAATCGCTGTTGCCTTCTTTTCCATAAAATGTAAACAGCCAGTACTCTAACCGCATTAACGTTCATTTTGTACACGACTGTCTCATAGCAGCGGAACGCGTGGTACTAAAGAGAAATGTATGCGTGTGATGATCTTAGTGAGGGATCCGGGGATGACGCCGTGACTGGTACGCCAGACCCGGACCTCGATGACACTGAGGTCATCAGTATGAAAGAGATTGAACATGCGATTCGAAGTTTGAAATGTGGTAAGGCTGCGGGACTAGACAGAGTTACTGCTGAAATGGTCAAGTATGGTGGGCCTCGCGTCTGGGACAGCTTTCGTCTGCTGTGCAATTTGTGCTGGCGGACGGGGGATGTCCCGGATGATTGGCGATCCGCAGTCATTGTGCCTTTATATAAAGGTAAAGGTTCACATTTTGACTGCGGGTGCTATCGGGCGATCAGCTTGACCAGTTTAGCAAGTAAAGTTTACTCGAAGGTTTTGACACGTAGGATGCAAGAGAAATCGGAAAGATTTCTATGGGAGGCACAATGCGGATTTAGACCTGGAAGAGGATGCACGGATCAAATGTTTTCTCTCCGCATGATCACGGAAAAGCTTCTGGCTGCTAACCAGAAGATTTTCTGTGCTTTTGTGGATCTTGAGAAAGCATTTGATAAGGTTGTAAGGAAGAAAATGTGGGAACTGTTGCCGGGGTATGGTGTGCATGGTCAATTGCTAAGGGCTGTGCAGTCTCTTTACTGTGACTGTAAAGCCTGTGTGCGGGTAGGGCATGACCTGTCACCCATGTTTAACGTCCAAACGGGCGTAAAGCAGGGTTGTGTCATGTCTTCCTGGCTGTTCATACTGTATCTCGACAGCTGTTTACAGAAGCTGAAAGATAGTTGTTTGGGTGTGAAATTGGGTGACATTAAAGTAAATTGTCTGCTGTATGCTGATGATGCAGTGCTTATTGCACCATCAGAGGCAGAACTGCAGGCATTAGTCACGTGTATGAAAGAGGAATGTGAAATTAAAGGTCTCCGTTTGAATGCTAATAAAACTAAGGTCGAAAGGGACGAAGAGAGAACGAAGTGTGAAATATGGGTAAATCAGGAATGTCTAGAACAGGTAAATGAAATTGTATACTTGGGGAGTGCTTTTAGCCGGGATGGAAGATGTGATTTAGATGTGGACAGGCGTGTCGCTGCCGGGAACAAAGTCAATGGTGCCCTGACTGCGTTAGTCAAATGGCAAGGCGTAGCGAAGAGTGCACGCCTTGCAATACATAACGCAGTGTTGGTACCGACTTTGTTATATGGCAGCGAAACCTGGGTATGCCAGAAGAAGCATAAAAGTAAGTTGAATGCAGTGGAGATGCGATCTCTTCGTAAAATGTGCGGCGTTACCATGGCCGACCGAAAGCGAAACGAAGAGATTCGCAATATGGCAGGTTTGAAAGATGACCTTATCACAAAAATTGATAAGGGCGTGCTTCGGTGGTTTGGGCACGTTGAGCAAATGAGTGAAGATCGAATGGTGAAGAAAATATATAGCGCGAAAGTTAATATTAAAAGGTGTCGAGGTAGACCGAGACTAACTTTCGAAGACCATGTGAGCAAATTGCTCGAAGAGGGTAGGGTCAAAAGTACTCGGATACTTAGACGTGCATGCATGAAGAAGATAATGAATCTGAAAGAAGCGAAAGAGGTATGTAAGGATCGTGACACTTGGCGATCTGTTCTCTCTGGCTACCCCGTCAGGGATTGTGCGTGAAGATAAGTAAGTATTTATGGGGCGATGAAAAATACACCACTTATTTGCTAAAATTCCAAACATGCATTCTACTAATCGACGTGATCGACTCTGTCTGTAGTTAAATATACGTTTTGCGTAGTTCAAATTTTGCTTTGAGTAAGGACGTACTTGAAAGGCCAAATGCTTCATCACCGATAAGGTAAAATGGTATTAAAGGTCCATTATCTTCATAAGGCAAGTGTTATCCAGTGGGAATATTAAGTCTGTTTTTAAAGAATAGTTTGCCCACTTGTGATGACTTAAATATTTCAGAATCACTACTGCTTCCGTAGGTACCAACATCAATATGGACAAACTTGTAGTCGGCATCAGTCCAAGCCATCAAAAGACAAGAAAAAACTTCTTGTAATTAAAAAAGACGATCCAGACTTTTGCGGATGGATATACGGTTCGAATGTGTTTCACTCATTTGGAAACTTTGTACCTTCATAGAATTCATGAGTAGTTCTAATCCAATCTTCTTCACTTTTTTCAGGCATATATTGCGAATGAAGTACATTCCATATTTGCTCACAAGTATATTTTATTATATCTCTAATTGTAGATTCACCAATCAAATAATCTAACGAAAGTTGAGAAAAATATGCCCCTGTTGCCAAATACCTGCAAAGAAAAATATTCATCATTAAATATAGTTTGTCGCAATGTACATAATGATTCTAGGATCTTTGTATGTAATTCAATTTGTATGAAAGGTCCAATTTTCTTTTTTTTTTTCATTTATCAACCTTTGTAGGAAAAAATTGCTTACTTATTGTTCTTCAAAATTAAGTCAAGAGGGCGACATCCTTTTACACCATATAAAATATAAAATTAATTAAATAACAAATTTTAATAAGTATTATTTGTTTTAGATCATGAAATCCAAAAAAAAATGAAATAACTTGCGGACTTGCTTCGCTAGAGAACTGAAAGCTCAAAAATAAGTAAAATCTGGACAATCAGCTTCGAAACGGCGACCATATGTTTACTTTGAGCGCATGTTGTTTTTAATACCCTGTATGGAATCACGACCAACTGAAGGTAGTATTGACAACAGTGAATCAAACCAGGACGACGCTAATTTATCAGACGATGCACAATCATACCCCCAACTAAAACGGAGAACTAAACAAACCAACTTTAATGAACAAATATTAAAGGCACTTCAGTCTAATGAAGATGGCGATACTAATTATTGCTTATCTTTGGTTCCTTTTATCTGACTTCTGACGAAAAATTAGAAGTGCACATAAGAATTTTACAAACATTCCAAGACATCAGGAAAAAAGATTACAATTACTTTACAATTTCCAAGAGCTTCCAGGCGTATTACTCCATCAACTTCCGTTCGTATTATTTACTGATCAAGTTATCCAGCCAAACCATAGTCGTTCAGTCTATTCCACACGTCAAGCAAATTTATCACAGCATCTGACAGAATCTCATCAGCAGTCTATCACAGGGCCACAGGATACAATACCATCTTAACTGCAAATTTCAAGTCCATCTACAGAAAGTCAAACACCGAATGATCCCCCCAAATGATCAAAGACGAAATACTATTCTGTAGAATGAAAAAAAAAATATCTGGGTAACATCTGAGTTTAGAGTGCAAGGTAGGATGTTTCCTATATTCTAATCTGTCACTTAATATAGGATGCACCCAAAATGTTTTCTTTTGTTTTCGTCTTCTTTTTATTATTAATGCAATTAGAGCGTTTTTTTTTTCGCATTATCATGCACACGCACCGCGCTAACAACACTGTCACGGACTAAATCGATTAAGTCTAGGGCTGGTAACCAATAAAAGAAAGTTGGTCGATTAAATTACAAAAGTACGCAATTTAGTCGTTCGATAGTTGGACAACTTACAATTGTATGTCTGCGGGAGCTCTAAGAAGTGGGAGCGGTATCCGTTTCCAGGCCGTGGTCAATAGGGTGAAAAGAATTATCGGAGTCCATTTAGAAAGCTTATTCGTTGCTTAGATAACAAATCTGCGAGAAAACAAACAAAATAACACAAATGAAAAGAGATTCTACTTGTGACTATTTAGCTTTGATAATTATGACATGGGGCCTAGCTGTCAGATTCGATGTTGCCTATTAACAGGCATAAAACCAATAAATAGATAGCGATTTTTTTATTCGATTTTTAATTTCAAAGAAAAGAATAATCTTTGATTCGCTTTACGTTCTGCACGCCTTTTAAAATATGTTTTGTTTTATTTATTTAAATTCCATTTTAAATGTATTTTTAAGAACAGATAAGAATAAAAGCTATATTGTGCAGTAGCGTTTTGTTATGTTCTAAAGAATTCATGGTAAATCAACTAGATTTTCGGTTGTTTAACAGGTTGATTGCCGATATTAGGCGAGGCAGCTCAAAAATTGACACCCAGAAACCATTTTTTATTAATAAATTGGGATTGTGCATTCATTTTTATCAGGTTTTTTATATCATACCATCAAGCCTGGATAATTTTAGTGGAGGTAATTGGAATAGTTATTGTAAACAATTTAACTGTTATATGTTGTTACATGATATATCAGAAGAAAAAAAAGTCCCAATGCTACTTACAAAATTAAGTAGCAATGTTTATGAAAATGTATCTGGTCTTTGTTCACCATTGTCTCCAATTAAACTTACATATGAAGAATTGTGTGAAAATTTAAACCACTTTTATCATATGCTATGTTTAGAGCGAAATTCAAAGATAGGAAACAAGAACTATCAGAATCTATAAAGAATTACATGCTGGCACTGCGAAAAATGACAAGAGATTGTGCCTTTACTGATGTGAATGAACAACTAAAGGAAAGATTGTTAAATCGTGTCCATAATTAAACTATTAGATATGAGCTCTTAAAAGTAGCAGAAAAATCCCTAAATGAATTAGTATTAACAGCTGAAACTGCAGAAATGGCATACAACTTAGCACACAAGGCCACAAGTAAGACTGTAGAAATGTTTGCTTTAAAGACAAATTCAAAGCCGCAGTTTAAATATTCCAGTAAAACAACCAGAACCAAACATTCACAAGTGGCAATAAGTGTTTTTGCTATGGGAAAGTTGGACATATGTGTACTCATTGCTCATTGAGAAATAAATATTGCAGTGAATGTGGACAGAAAGGACACATTTTCAGAGTTTATTCAAGGAAAAACACAAATGTGAAGACAGTGTTGGTCGATCAGGTAACTAGCCAAAGTGAAGAAGTG